TTTTATGTACAGCAATAAAAATATATAATACATTAAAAAGAAACACACCTCACTGTGAGCGACAGCTTAAAGCATGTGTAAAACATACTGTTCGGAAGAGAGACAATAACCTCAAGCTAGAGGATTCATTTTCTCAGAGGATCCAGAGCAGAGACATTTCCATTTATATTCAATATTCCTTTATGAAAGTCTGACAGGTACATTTACTTTGCATATTTTATATTAACAAAAAAACTAATTGTAAAAAAAAAAAATCTTCATTCTTTGAGTATCTTTAATATGATGATGTTACTTAAAAGGGGTAATATAATCATCAACAGACCAAAAACTAAATACATCTTATGACTTTTATTTTTATTGGTTTATTTATTTACTTTTTTGCATTATGGATGTTTTTTTCCATGTGATGCAAGTAGTATACTTTGTAAAACCCAAAAAGTTAAGGTAACAAACAATTTAAGTTCAAAAACTAATCCTAATGAGCACTGTGAACTTACTCCATTTGAGTAAACAAAGCAATTTGAGCACAGTTAAACCCAATAAATAAAGAGAACTCAAACGGTTTGAGGAAACCGACTGCTACAAACCATTTGAGTAAAAAAAAAACTAATGAGGTATTTAATTCACTTATTTATTACATTCAACACTGAGTTCAAAACTCTTTTCAAATGAGTAGAATTAACCTTTAGTAAAATTTTAAGTTAACTACACTCATTTCAATTGATAAATTTGGCATTTGGGTTTTACAGTGAACCAATCACAGAAAAGAGACGTCTCTCTGAAAGGGAAAGGTTCAAACAGACTAGATCTTTGAACAAAACTATTCAGACATTGTAACAAAAGAGATGATACTGCAGGTGATGAAGGTGCATTTTGACCTTAGATGAATGGAAACCTGAAACCTGAAGAAGACCTCTAAAATGGAGGTCACTTGGCATCTTTGATCATCTGGTGAAATAGGTGGAAGTGAAGTTAGTATCCACAGAAAAAGAAATGAAGAGAGTAGGCGACAAAAACTGTTTGTTTCCAACTTTCAACACACTAAATCTATCAAACTATTACTGGAAACACAAAAAACTGATCATTTATATAGAGTGTAAATAAGAAGACCACAAGAAAGATGGAATAAAAAAACAGTGCATAAGAAAAAACTGAAAAAAGGTCACAACGTTCTTGGAAAATGAGAGGGTGGTGTTAGAAAATGAGCAGCAGACAGATAGGCTGGTAAAAGAAGGAGGGCTGAGTTTGATGAATATATGTTGGTATTTTCCTTCTTTCCTTCCAGAAGCTGAAGAAACTCTACTCTTGACTGCAAGCCTGTCTACTTTACGAGCCATGGTGGAAGGAAGCAAACTCTGGCACTCTGAATTTAAGAGCAAAAAAGTAGGCCACACCAAAACATGTCATCAGTCAGAGTTGGAAAAAGACAAGCATTAAAGGGTTTTTCCAATGAACATGCAGAATTTGAGAAGAAAACGTTGCCGTTTCTGCTGCACCTGAACCCTATGGAGGCCACAACCTGAGGACTTTTTACAATGATCAAATGTGTCACTGGATGATGAATTACATCAGGCTTTGGCAACTCACAGAGTTTTAACAAAGTGCGTGCCTAAGGGATTTCTGAATCAATCTTACGCCCCATTTCATGACTCAGAACTTAATCGTCTTAAGTTTCTAATAGCAAATTTCACGTTTCATTAGAAGTGAATTTAGGTGGCGTGGAATAACAAATGTCAGTGAGGGAAATCAGATTCAAAACTCAATTGGTTTTCACAACCTCATGAGTCGTGTTTTGGCCTCTAAGTTAATAAAAGTTTCGGATTGCACCAAGCGCATGTACTAAAGAGTGTCCTTTGGATCAGAAAGCTTGGTCTGGCCTTTAACAAAAGGAAAACAGTCCACTGCTGATGCAGCATGGCCAAAAGGCAAATGCATAAACCTGCAGGAAAAGAATAAAGACACTTTACTGGAGAAGCCTTCACAATGCTTTTTCTGTATTTTCGTTTTAAGGGGAATTAAGAGGCTAGAAATGCTTTTCAAAGGACAGCGCCAAGACATGGTCAAAACTTGCCAGAACACTGATTTATATAGGGAAAAACAACAAAAGAAGCATCCTTTAATCTGTTACATGGCAAAATATGACCAAAAAGTGCTTGTGTGTGAAAATTGCTCCCTCTAAAATCTCCTCTTACTATATAACTTAATGCGATTCTTTGAATAAAGAAATAAATAAAAACAGGAACTGCTCAAAATCCTATCAATGGACAGTTTACTGAATTTAAAGAATGGTTCATCCAGAAACTGAAATGACTAACTGACCCACCCTCAAGCCATCCTCAGTGTACAAAACTTCTTTCAGACAAACTCTGGAGTAGCCTAATTTAAAAAATAGAGTATACAGATATGATAAAAAATAAGATGAATGCATCATCAAACTAGTCCATACATCACCATAGTTTTAACAAAAGACTTAAAAGGTGGATAGATAAATCACTGACGACCGCTTCATAATATATGAGATATATAGACTAATATACCTGGTGGTGGTTTAAAATTGGGTGAACCATTTCTTTTGAAATACAGAGTCTGTAATCTAGGATTTATATGTTACTTGCCATTTTAAGTATAAAACAGATAATAAGAAGAAATTGGTAATTGCAACAACCAAACAACAATCTAAACGCCACATGAAGAGCACGTTTTAGGTACAAAAGAAAAAAAGTAGACAACCAACAGTAATTACCACTACATTCACATTACCTTTCCTTGGTAGAAACATCTTTAAATGTAACAGATCGTTTCTTCACTGGATAATCATTTAAAACCTGGTAAAGTATTGCAAGACCCGCAATTCATTATACTCCTGCTGGCATTTGGCTCCCTCTGCTGTTGCAATAAGGAGAAAACACTTCATGAGCAGCGACGCTTTAATATGAAAGTTTTAAATGAAAGAGATAAAACTGTAGCATCTGTGGTTACTCTGCCAAAAACAGTCATTTAAACAACTCTCAGTCTCACTGAATGTCACGCTTTCAACTTTCAAAACAATTCATGACTTTAAAATTTTGCTTGACCAATCCTGAAAACCATATACACTTATGGGACGATAGATCACCCAAAAATGAAGATCACTGTAATCATTTTCTTACCCTTTACGTCATTGGTTACCAGTTTACAACATTCCGCAAACTATCGTTTGTTGTTCAGCAGGGAAAAAACAATCTCATAAAAGATTGCAACCACTTGAGGAAGAGTAATTTGTGAGTAAATATTTTTTGTGGGTGAACATTAACATCTATTTTTTGTAAAATACAGTTATTAAACAAATTAATACTTGAAGGAAATGTTCCAAAAATATATAGACATTTTTAAAAATCTAATCTCTTTGGTAATCCTATATTTTTAAATACATTAATATATTAAAACAAATCTTTAATATAAAATGTAAGTTATATATATACGGGTCATTATCACTAAAGTGCCTTTGAGACTTCAGCATTTTCAACAAAAAAAGTTTGAGATTTTCCATTTAACCACATAGTTGTTGTATTAATTAGACCTCGGGCTGTCAGAAATTAATCTTGGTCAAGCTCCTGCACTTTTTTAAATAATCTGCAAGCAGAAAAACAGTAAACAAACCTCAAAATTGTCAACTGTCATGGACAAAATCAAAGTAGTAAAAGTATATTCTGAATGCAGTGTGATTATAAAATGTAAATTTTCAGAAAGGTAATGTGTCCCTTTACCAACCCAACTTTATGGAAAAAGTCTATTTATATTAATGAAATATTGGACAAACAATTATTTCCCAATAAATTATGCAATCGTTGCACATTCTTTTCAAAATAAAATCCAACATCTAAAATATTGTGTCAAACTTTCAAACAACCTGGCCCTTATTGGTTAATTGAGAAATCACGCAAGATGTTTTGCTAAATTTATGAATAATTTGTTTATTTTCATAAAAGTTGAACATGGTGAAAAACAAGATGACAGGGTGGACATTGGCATGTTTTTTATTATTATTATTATTTCAAACAGTCGTTAAGCTCTATTATATATAGACTTTTAAAGGATATCCTTTATATAGACTGAGGCAGATATTACCAAAAGGTTTGTATTGTCTACTAATGTATTGCATCTACTGGTGTAATATGCATTAAAGTGTTGTAACATAAAAACATCAACTAATTAACATTAAAAAAAAAAATTATAAATAAAGTATTAATAACAATGCATATGTCCAACCTGTAAAGGAAAGTTTTGTGACGGGGTGGACAGTCAGAGGATATTTTTTACTAAAGATAGCATTTATTCAACACGTGGTACCTGCAGCTCGTAAAATGTTTTCCTATTCAAGCTCTTTGTACTCAGTTTAAAAGCTATATTTTTGATTTCTGAATCTTTTTAATCTTCATTAATCTCTCATTATGACAGGGTGGACATATTAAGCTTGACAACATTCAGTTTCAAACACAATAAGAGGAAATATAGGACACATAAGTGTAGACAGTTACTGTGTGCACAGCAGATTTTTTAACCTCCTCTGAAGAAAGGCAAAATGGGCATGAGGGTACCAAGGAGTACAGCAATTTCAAGGACAAGTGCAAAATGATTAATAATATTATGAAAACAAAAGTTATCAAAATTACTTATTTAATCAAATAACTTGTTAAAGAAAAAAATATTTAAAAATCGTTTTAATTCCCAGATTTTAGACTGAAGTTGGCTGAGTAGTGACGGACATGGCAAAAACACATCCATTCAATGAAAGAATATGGCAAAAACTGACAAAAACTTTTGGAAACACTTATCATTCTACCAGCATGTTTGTAAAGGTTTAACCAATTATATTAAAACTTCAGAATTTCATTATTTTGCATTATGTTTAGATAGGACTGATCAATCTTTTTGCACATCAAAGGCACCTTATAGTGATAATGACCCGAAATTATAAATATTGAGTTTGACAAAATAATCATGAAAACACCACACATATGGACTGTTCAAATAACCTTTTAATTTGAATACACTGAAAGCATTATCGTACATCAATAACTCAATGCAAACTACGCATTACAGTGCACAGTTCTGTATGGATTATAGCTTGTCAAAAACAATAGCCTCAGTTTTGTTTGATAGCTGTATCGTGGTCTGATTAATTGTGCGCTTCGAAAGTACAAAATAGACACTCAGTTGCTCTCTTTTCTCTCCCAAGTGTGGTGCAATTTATTTATTTCTTGGCAGCTTGGAAACGCTCGCTGACATTCTCCCAGTTTACAACATTCCAGATGGCTTTAACATAGTCCGGTCTAACATTCTTGTACTGGAGATAGTACGCATGTTCCCAGACATCTATCCCAAGCAGTGGGATGAGACCTTGAGTTTAAAATGGAAAACAGAATATATTAAAATCTAAAATACTTTAACCACTATAACAGTCAGCAGACATCTTTCAAAGTGGGGTTAATCACAATATGACTTTAATAATTGTTTTATTTAAAATTAACAATAATTTATTACTATACAATATTACTTTTTAGGGCGTCACGGTGGCGCAGTGGGTAGCACAATTGCCTCACAGCAAGAAGGTCGCTGGTTCAAGCCTGTCAGTTGGCCCTTCTGTGTGTAGTTTGCATGTTCTCCATGTGTTTGTGTGGGTTTCCTCTGGTTTCCCCCCAAAGTCCAAAGACATGCAGTACAGGTGAATTGGGTCAGCTAAATTTTCTGTAGTGTATGTGTATGAATGAGAGTGTATGGATGTTTCCCAGTAATGGTGTAGCAACTGAAAGGGCATCCATTGTGTAAAACATATGCTGGATAAGTTAGTGGTTCATTTCGTTGTGGCTACCCCAGATAAATAAATGGACTAAGCCGAAAAAAAAAGAATGAATATTATTTTAAATGGATAATTAACTCTTAATATTGATATTCTTTAATTGTTTACTCGCCCACCAGTGTTTCTTTCTTCTGCTGAATATAAAAAGATATTTTGAGAATGTTGGAATCTGGTTGACTTTGACTTCCATTGTATTCATTTCCACTGTCAATGGCTACCAAGTTTCCAACATTCTTCGAAATATCTTATTTTTGTTGACCAGAAAAAAGAAAATCGTGAAGATTTGGAACAATTGAGGGTGAGTAAATGGAAAGTAAATAAAGTCTTTTTGGTTGGTGAATTCAAAATATATTTGTCATTAGCTTAATTTAGAAAGTCCAAAGACATTTTTTTTCCTTTTCAAAACAAATAAATATATATTCCCAGAGATGGTTTGCAGCTGGAGGGGCATCCGCTGTGTAAAGCATATGCTTGAAAATTTGGTAGTTCGACCCCAGATTAATAAAGGGAGTAAGCCGAAAAGAAAATGAATGAATGAATGCATGAAATAAAAACATAAAAACATTTTTTGTTGTTTTTTTTTAATAAAAGTATTAATTAAATCTGTTTAATCATCCATAGCAGTGTTTCTGAATCCCGTTCCTGGAGGACCAACAATGATGTTTTGAATGTCTCCTTTGTCACACTCATTACAGTGGTCTGTTTTTCATACGTGGATTAAGCAGTTAGCTGGATTTGGTTATTGACGATTTGACATGATCTAGGATCATTTCGTTCTTCAAAAATCATCTGAGAGTTGTTGTCATAGCAACAGTTCTGGTAGCTCAAACCTGCTCAGGAGCAGGCTTATTTCATACAAACAGGATTAGATTGGGTCATTTCAGCAAAGGTAATACTAAAAGTATGTACTGAATACTGACATTCTTTAACAGTAGTAACTTATAGATTACAAACACTGGGGAAAAATAGTTAAACAATTATATACATTTATATAAATAGTAACTTTTTAAATAATGAATAAAACTGTTATGCAATCTACACTCCGAAATAAAAGCACAAAAACTGTTTTGTGGTGTTCTCTCCCCAAGGGGTTTAAACAGAACATTTAATAATATGGACTTTTTAGATACAAATGTGTACTATTTTAATGTACCGACCCAGCTTTGGTCAAAGACTACAGAATACACAAGACATGACATCTCGTATGCTTTTAAATGGGGTAAAAGTGTAACTGTCAATATGGTAAATAAAGCCCTGCTTTCTAGAAGAGAAGCCAATCAGTGATCACTATATTGTATATAAAGCCCGCCTTCTTGTACAGGAGCCAATCAGCGATAGCTATAAAATGACAATACTCAAGGGAAGGGGCTCGGATTTTGTGCAGATTTTCGGTTATACGAACATTTAGGAATGAAACTAAAGAGACACTTGTTGTTTAATTTTATTGGTTATTTGTAAAATTAAATGTAATCATAATCTTGGCGAGTAGTTTAGAAGAATTTGATGTTTCCCTATTCAAACAGAATGCCCAAGCATACTGCCCGAGAGGCGTTTCAAAGATGACAGCAGATTGAAATGACTTGCCTTAAAAGGACTTTGCTTAAGTACAATTAGTGTATGATAATGGACATGACCAATATTTAAACTTTTTTTTTTTAAAGAAAAGAATAATAGTTTATGCAGTCATGTAAACATTTTGACATGACAGGCTTTGCAAAAGTTGCAGACAATTTTACCACTATCAAAATATGTTTTTTAATGCAAAATTAAACGACAATTTATTAAGATGTTTTAATACACCTACTATAATAAAGAAAATCCGCTCTTAAAGTAAATATAATAAATTGCTAAATACTCTCGACACATGAAAGTGTAAAGAGTGCAGCTCACAACAAAGTTGGAAAGTTATTGCACATCATATTCAACAAACCATTTACCATGAATTTTCTGTTATTTTGCTCACATGGATTAATCAGATGATGTCATTATGCTCCTATGCTGTCATCCAATCCACAGATCAGTCCTTCACAACACACGCAGCGATCTCAGATCAGTTTATCCAGACATTTTAATCTGATTCGTGAACTTGTTTGAAGAACCAAATTAGCCCGAGATCAGTTATCAACATTAATAGATCCAGGATCTGTCAAATCATCTTAGATCCTTTAAGCGAGGTACGAAGAATAAACCCCTGGGGCCTCATGTATCAACGCTGCGTACGCCAGTTTTCACGCTCAGATATGCTCACGTTTGGATTTACTAACGATGAAATGAGCGTGGGAATGTGCGGAGCTCCACGCCAACTTCATGGCTGGCGTACGCACATTTTTTTGTGCGTGTCTGTTCTATTTCCATTGGCGACTCCTAGAGGCAGTTGTGTTAAATGGCACTCTACAAAGTGTATGAGCCGTGGTGCAATGGCAGCTGTATGACAGGTTCATCTGCATGTCTAGCAGGTATATAAGGTTTCCATACCATGTAGTTGACCAGCCAAACATTAAAGTGCAATTTGCAGCTGTCGCCGGTTTTCCCAATGTAATCGGAGCTATCTACTGCACACACATTGCTATAAAGGCACCATCTGAAGATGAATTTGCATACGCAAATCAGAAACATTTACATTCAATAAATGTGCAAATAAAATATGATGCACAGACTTATTAATGATTCCTACTTGTCTTCATAGTGATAAATAGTAGGCAAAATCTGATATGTAGGGGGGAATGAGTTCATCAGACGCTGAATTCGAACCGAGTTTATGCTCAAACGTGTCAAAACAAGTTACCATGCGTTTTACAAGCTGCGCCACTCAAGCTATTAATGATACTACAATAGTTTACATCTATAGATTTCACTAATTCTTTTTTAATCCATTCGGTGCGATGTTCATACCCAACTGTGTTAACCGCATCAGCTAAACTCTCCCACACTATTTTTTTCTTTTGTTATTAATTCCGAAGGCTAACTTGCAAATAACACCGTTTTGCTTTGGTCTACTTCCGAAAGGAGTACCTCCAATTCATATTGTTCAAAGTTTCTCTTCTTGCTTGCCTTTGACATTACTTTTTCGTTTGGTTTTGCCAAAGTAGAGTCATTAGCATATTCATACGGATGTACAAATAATATGCGTGGGGCACATTTACAGCTTTGTGCGTACGCAATGTTTTAGTATGATTTCCTTGCAAGTCTTCTTACATGAGGCCCCTTGTCTTTCAGTTTCTGCTAATGAGTTGATGATATGAATCTGGTGTGTTTGGTTAAGGAGACATGAAAATAGTGCAGAGCTAGTAGTCCTCCAGGATTGTGGTTGAGAAACACTAATATAATCATTTGAGTTTTTGGTGAAAAGACTTTGAGTTGAGTAACAGAAACTCATGTTCATTCAGAAGATGAACAAAAGTCTACAATGCCATATGCAATACAGAAAAGTAATGCATACAAGTGCTGCATATTTGGATATACAGTCTACGTAGATGACTTATGAAGAAACCGGAGCACTTTATGTGCATTCACTGAGGGCCTTGTTAATGCATGACAAATGACAGTGTGTAACTTAGGGAATCATACCTGCACAACCAAAACAGATCTATTCTCTTTTTACTGTGGAGAAATTTACCTGTGGTCCCTTGCAAAGGGTCTTGGTTAGCACACGCTGCAATCCTCAATCTTCCGCTCTCCTTTTCAAAGCCCAGCCAGCCCCAGCCTGAGCCCTGAACAGCCACGGTGGCAGCTGATATCTTCTCTTTCATCTTCTGAAATGAGCCAAAGTCACGCTTTATGGCCTCCAACAGCTCACCTGTGACAGGAAAAAAACAGGTTCATCATTTCCAGCCATATGCTTTATAATTGTAAAATATAAATGATGAGTATTTTTTGATCATGATTGGCATCTGTAATGTGTACAATACACATCAAGCAGCTTAATCGAGGATTGGTGTTGTTGACTCAGTAGCTATGTTTTCATCCAAAGATGCGAATTATAAGCGCAAAACTGGAATACCGCATAACATATTTGAGGATAAAGCACTGTAGCCAAACAATGAGTCAAAAAGAATAAAATGTGACTTCCTGATAAACTGGTGTCAAATATCTAAAAGAAAAAGGGATTTTGTGATAGAAACCACTGTGGGCCTTTTTTTTCTTATATAATAAATTGTGCCTCAGAAGATGAAACGCAATTAACAAGCTTTGGCTTTTAAAGGTGCAATACCGCTCTTTGGAAGCGCAGACACTTACGAAGTTCTGGAAGGTAATAATACCAAACCACTTTGAATACAGACTTTGGCTAAGGCATTTTGTAATGACCAAAATAACATTTCAGATGTTGTGCAATGTGATTAGTTTGCCAGCTTGTCAAGTAATGGCATCCCATTGCACCCATTTTTGTTATCACATGATCTCTTAAAACAAAATTTGATGTGCATGCTGGAATTTATTCACTAAACATGCTTCCATTGTAGTTTATGCACATTTATCTAATCAGATAAAAAGTTAATCCTACTCACTTGTGTACTTAAATTTTTATGCACATGTTAAAAATGTATGCGCATCTTGGCAGTTACATTAAGCATTTTTTTATGTGATATTCCAAAATGTGCATAAAAATAGGTGAATGGATACATAGCAAATTTTGATGGACTGATGTGGAGTGAAAGAGTAAACTGTCATATGTCTTACCCTGTGGTTCTCCACCGCCATTGGGTGACAGATTTGTCCAGAATATGGTATGATTAATATGACCACCTCCATTAAATTTCAATGCAGGCTGAAGGGAGACTTGGGTTGTCACATCACCTGTAACACAGCAAAAGCAAACCTGAAGACTTTTTATAAGCAATGAAGACCATTTAAGTGATGAATCATAACTTTTGAATGTAGCAAATGTAATTTTAGTTTGGATGTCCAAATCCCATCACATGATCAAAAATCAGGCCTGATCACATGGTTTTAGACTCGATCAGAATCGGATGTTACGTCCCGATCAGAATATGAATATGAAAATATATATATATATATATATATATATATATAGGGTTGGACAAAGTCGACCAATTTGGCATTGAACAATGTCTAATGTGAAACATCGCGATGGACGATGGCATTAGGGAATTCATTATTTATGAATAATTAATTATTCTGTAACAAATTAATTATTTGTAGCCTACCGTTTCAACTGCCAAACCCACATGGTCTTTGTTTTAACCATAAACAAATCATAAATAAATAAAGATAAGTTAAACACAAATTACCACCTGTCAATCACTTTTCAGTGGGACTCTAGGCATGAACAGGCTGAGTGATCTGTGTTGTTATAATGGCGTCGATAAACTTAGTTGGTAAAAAGTTGCACAGCCAACAGGAAGCAGCCAACAGTAGCTGAGGCTTTGGCTAAAATGACTACGTACAAGCGTGAAAGCGAAAGATTGAAGTAGTGTACTGACGCTGTGACACGTTACCTGATAGATTTAAAAGACAGAAGAGTCGTTAGATAGAGATAAAAGTAATTAAATATCATGTTTAACTATAGTGAGACGCGACCCATCGGTACATCCTTAATAAACTGTCTGACGTTCACTGCTCTCTGGGGTTTTATGCTCAAAGCACCCGCTGACTGCTGGAGCTTAGACGCATGCATACGCTGCAGCGTATATGTGTGTGTGTGTGTGTGTGTGTGTGTGTGTGTGTGTGTGTGTGTGTGTGTGTGTGTGTGTGTGTGTGTGTGTGTGTGTGTGTGTGTATGTGTGTGTGTTCACGTGATGTGGATATCTGTTTGGCACATCGATGAAGTTGCTAGCGTGACACACAATCCAGATGAAATATGAAAGCCCAACATAAGTGTTGATAATATGCAATGTGATTTTTACTAAGAATACCACTGTAGACAACGATAGAAGGGTGTGTATAAAATGAAATAACAATTTGTGTCCACCAAACATAAGGAATAGCAATCTGGTTTGTTCTCACCCTTGGCCAGAGCCTCTTGATATTTCTCCTCTGTGACATTGAGGTTGTTGACATATGTTGCATGGTGCTTGCTGTGATGAAGCTGCATAATCTCAGCACAGATGTGAGGCTCAAGTGCACCATAGTCATATGTGAGGTCAGGGAGAGCGTGCTTCTGTCTGGAGGTCACAGCACCTAAGAGGGGGTTGAAGGTTGCAGCGCACCTATTGTTGACAGCAACAAAGAAATATATTTATGTTTTGAAAACAATATTGCTACAAACAGACAAAAAATTGTCAGGTTATGTTGGATTACTGTGATGAGTACACTGGATCACTGCTGCATGGAAAGTCACATGATCAGAAGTTTCAAACTAGGTTTAAAAAAGGGGGATATCATTTTTGATTAACATTTAGCAAATATTGTAAAAAGTCTTAGTCTTTCCCCTTAGACCAAATAAAGTAGATTTATATATAAATATGAGTGCATTTATATTTTAAAATTAGTAATCTATCAAGATCTAATAAGTGTCCTTGGCATCAAGTTATTTTGAAAACCTCTGGTAAGTAGCCGCTTAGGGCCCAAGGAAATCTGAATAAGAATAAATAATACTCTACATTATATATAATATTGTTTTCTATCATATTTTGTACGGTGAAGGTCTAAAAAGTTTCATTTTAACGTTATTATTACATCTGGGCAAATGTGTACCCTACTTTCAATCATGGACCAGTCCGGCAGTCGAACTAAATTGTTAATTCCGTATGTTTAGATGTGAATTTATCTTAAGAAAACAAATAGTTTCAAAAGTTTTACAAGGTACTTTACATATTATTATTTTGCATTAAGATAAAATGTAGAAAATTAGATTGAATAATATCAAAAAACTGCAAAAAAATAAATAAATAAATAAATAAATAAATAAATAAATAAATAAAGTACAAAAGGTGCATTTTAGATTTTATGAGCCCCCTGGCTGGAATTGTTTAGGGCCCCAAAAATCACTAAATCTGCCCCTGAGTACAGTATACATTAACAAGTGATAAAACTGACTGTTTGTCAAACATAAGTGCTTCAATAGCAACTGTTTGACACAAATTGCAATGATTTCTGATGAAAGTATTTTTTAGGAATGTTGACGAAGATTTGGTCGAAAGGTTTGTATGGTTCGTTTAAAATAAAAGCCAACAGCACACATTTAATTATTAAATATATATTAATTTGAACATTTTAACACGTTAAGCTGTTGTTTGACAGGCTCGACGGAGGCTAATGCAATTACAAGTACACAACTCATATACAACAGCAAATATAGCCTAAGCATCTAAAGTTATTCCTTGTTAAAACTACTCTCGTAATATTACTTACGTAAACTATTGCTGTCCGCTTAAACGCTCAACCAAACAGGTAAATGTGCGCAGGTTATTAATACCGCCATTGATTATATAAACAACATTTGATATTCAGACAGCGGCATATAGTATTAGAACCGATTCAGGCTTTATCATTACCTCCGAACATATCCGACTCTGCACAGCATGCTCTAGTCCGTCACACAGTGATACAAGCGACCAACCAACAGACCTAAATTCGCCACATTACAACCTGCCCTTGAAATTTCAACTTCAACTTGGACTAGACCATACCATTTTGTCAAAATAGGGGTCTGAGAAAATTTTTTTTGTATTTTTATTGATTGCAGACTAAACTATAAAGAATATTTCCGTGTAAAAATAAATTATGAATATTTGAGAGCATAGTATATATTATATATATCTCAAGGGATCGATAGTACTACAATGTAAAGAGGGTGCAAAAACCATGCCCCCTGTCCCAGTTGGTGTAATTCAGTCAGTCATTCTAGGCCTAGGTCCAGAGTGAGACAGTAAATAAATGGTTTCGTTTTAGAACTTTTGTTGCCTGATTTATTAGGATTGTACATTTTGTTTTGCTTCACATTAAAGCAAAATGAATAGCTCAATTTCTTTCCACTTAGTAATTTTGCAAAGAGATTACAAGCAATGGGTTAAGAATTACACAGATCGTAATTCCTATGGCGAATATCTAATGTAATTAACTTGATCATGTATGTATATAGAGAGAGTAAAACGTGTTATCGTTTAGTTAGCATTAAAGCTTACATACCAGGGTTGCCAGATCAATCAAAAGAAACGTGTCAGAAAACAAACCGGATATGAGAAAGGACTTTTGGAAAACACTAAACAGGACACACAAAATATATATTTTAGTCCTTCTTTTCTTGTGCCTTTATTATTGATGTCGTGGTGGTCGGTATGTTTTGTGTGGTAATTTGTCTTTTACAACTAGCTACCTACACCTAACTAACTAACAAAGCAAAAATGAAGTCAATTAATAAATGAATGATTATATACATTAACGTTTGAATGTATGCATGTAAGTTATAAATAAGCTATGTTATCATAATTGTAATAGGTTGTTTGTTGTACTGTAAAAGATGCACTGTTGTTCAATATCAACCTGGCAACACAGTGACAGGAACGTGCTCCTCCTCCTCAGCGCTCGCGCGAACGAACACACTGATGCTGTGCGGCTGAACATCGCGCACACGCTGGTCATGGCGGACGGGCTACCTTTCGTCTAAATAAAAAACGCAACATTTTCCCTATCCCGAGAACTATATTAATAAAAATAACTCTTTCGTATCTCACATTGGAAGACATACGTGTCATTCTGGTCGAGGCGAACCGGCTCTGGTAAGTGGTAGGGATTTAATACGGCTATTTCAGATAAAGTGCTGCTTCTCGGAGAGGGAGAGTCTCTTCCTTCTCCGCCATTTTGTGACAGCGAAAATGCTCCAAGAAGGCGCCGGTACATTTTTATTCCTGTGCGTCTGCAGTCATTTATTGTCTATGTTTTAAGACGAATCTGCATTATCGGCTACGTAAGTTCTTCATGTCTTCCCCGGGAGTAACGAGCACCGTTCCTGAGACTATGAGAATGGCGCGCGGTTGTTTGCGGCGCAGAGCGTTTACCAAGTCAAATCGTTAATTGACGAACTCAATTCGCCTGAATTACGAAACTAACCTTCTTGTTTGGCTATATGAAATAATATTTAAGGGCTACAGTTTGCATTTTTCGATTATAATACGTTAAATGTGCAATTCAAGATGCATATAACGTTTTAGCAGTAAGTTAAGGTTAGGTCAAAATGTTAAGTGATATTTTTTCACATTTTCGCAGTTTAGTTTGTTTCCACATGTTTGCTGCATTTAATTATCAGAAAGTGAATAATTGGCCTTAACTAAGCAAATTCCTCCACAATATCTGTTGTAATTGAGAAACAACAACCTCTCCCTCGCCTGGTGGCCTATATTCGTTATAGCACACGTGTAGGCGTGTGAAATCCATGCAACTGTCTCTAAATCTTTTCTGCATATTGTTGCTTGAAATTGCGTGTGTAGGTTTGATTCATTGATTTATTTGAACTTACTAAGTGTTTGGTTTGTATGCTTCTGTCTTGCAGAGATCAGAATGACCAATGAAGAACCTCTCCCGAAGAAGGTGAGCTCTTTGTCCCAGTCTAATCTGATTATATGATTCTTTCTCCTGAACAAGGTCTCTTTATGAGTCTTTATTTTCTTTTTATGTACTTGCAGGTTCGCCTTAGTGAATCTGACATGAAGACGCTGACTCGAGAGGAGCTCTGTACCAGGTATGTAACCATTCTCTCTCCCGCAAAAACAAAGTATGCAAGTTGAAAGATTCTTGATTGTAATGCTGGTATGTTTTCTTTCCGGGTGTAGGTGGAAACAGCATGAAACTTACGTCCAGATGCTTGAGGCGAAATATGCTGATTTAAACTGTAAGTATGCACATCTTAAATGTTCTGAATAATTCATAGTCTTGAGTGCTTTACTCAAGCACAGAGTGTTCAGTCTTTGTGTTAAAGTAATGTTATTGCATAAAATGAATTGTTGGTAACTAATGCATTTGTTTCATGTTGAAATGTCTGCAGCCAATGACGTGACAGGCCTGAAAGAGTCTGAGGAGAAGTTGAAGCAGCAACAGCAGGAATCTGCACGCAGAGAGAACATTCTGGTGATGAGGCTTGCTACAAAAGAGCAGGAAATGCAAGAGTGTACAGTAAGTTTTTTTTTCTTTTTTTTCTTAATCACTACTACATCTGTTTACTTCTGCTTTATGATCAAGTCTATTCTTGGAAATATGTCAGTTTGTTTGAGTAGTACTGAGTGTCTGAGTTTTGTAGGTGCTGCCTAAGTTGCACACTTCCCTACTATAAGTAGGTGCAAATAGTAAGTTATTCAAAATGAGTATCCACTCAAGAAGAGTGCATGTGATTTGAGATGCTGCTTCTGCTCATGGGTCCCCACCATGATGATTTCTTTTTGTTTACATATAGCAGATGCATTTCTTTTTCTAATGATCTGTGAGACATCAAAAAACATTGCAAATGTAATAGCTGCTATGATCTAGTCAAATGTGTTTTCAAATGTCGGCCATGCAAATTCTAGCTGTAATTTATCATGCTGTACTGAAGCGGATATGAGCATAAATTTTCCAACATTTCAACATGCTGGCATAAAGCAAAACAAATGCAAGTGGTGGCGGATGCAGGCTTGTGCATGTCTACAGTGTTCCACCTTTTACTGCAACTTTCACATTCAGGCACAAACTTTATTTGTAGCAGGTACAAATGACATTACGAATAGGGTTTGGAGTTTCAACTAGACTAGTTTTCATTGCGGTGATTGTTTAATATTGGGACATCAAAGCACTTCAGTTATACAAGCTACTCATTAACTAGACAATGAGCTTGGTATTAAACAGTTGTTTCAAAAATTAAAACTTTAACTGTATACTAGTTTCAAAGCTGAAGTTTTTTATTTATATAAACAGGGTTCATACCATCATAGAAAACCTAGAAAAGTCATGGAATTTTGACATGGTGTTTTCCAGGCCTGCTAAAGTTTTGGAAAAACAAAAGCCACAAAGTTTTGGAAAAGTCATGGAAATTGGATATCTGTATACTTGAATAAAGGTTTTTTACTTTTCTTCCTTGGCCAATCATATACTCTCAAATTATTAGTGCGGTGTAAGCATTATCTAAATCAAATTTACATAGATATAAATTGAAACTAAATGGATTGTTGCGTATTTTATGATATGCTGTAATAAATTTGAACTTGCATTGTTTTTCTTTTACCTCATATATGTAGATAATGCATGAAACATTAGGCCATAAATATTTACTTGTAAGTCTTAGAAAAATCATGGAATTTTATTAGCAAAAATATGTATGAGCCTTTTATATACGTACTTGCATACTCCATTGACTTTTAATTTTTAGTTTGAAATGCTGAGATTCTAATGGTCTCTTACCTTGCAGACCCAAATCCAGTACCTGAAGCAAGTCCAGCAACCGAGTGCAGCTCAGCTGAGATCGTCCATGGTGGACCCAGCCATCAACTTATTTTTCCTCAAAATGAAGGCTGAACTGGAACAGACTAAAGACAAACTGGAGCAAGCCCAAAATGAACTGAGTGCCTGGAAATTTACACCTGATAGGTAAACTAAAATAACTCCCCCCTCCAAACAAAAAGTCAAGACTTTCCTGATTCACCCCCACCTTCTCCTCTGCAGGAGTGCAGATAATGGTGGGGGAAGACTGAAATGTGTTGCTCACAACGAGACTCAGACTTTAAAGCAAAAAAGCTCAGAACAAAAGACATTTTTCTTTTGTATTGCCCTGCTATTACACATACCGTAATGTAAAATCAGAACAGAACACGGCAGTTTGGTCAGGTGACACTTTTGTTTCAGCTCTTTCTCTCCCCCCCACACCCCTCATGGTACAGAAGCCTGAAGGAATCGGGACTGTTCCTGAAGAGGTGGTCACGTCGGAAACTCAGCCCGTGTTAGAAAGCTTCCTGTAACAAATAAGGCGGCCTATGAAAGACTTGAGCAAAGCGTTGGCTCTGGAGCTGGTTGAACTGTAGTTTGCAGGTCACTGATTGAACATTTAAAACATGACATGGCCCAACTAAATGTGTTGCAGAGGAAAATGCCCCCATATAAACTCCATCATAGATGCTTTGAGACTCTGGTTAAGAATCTAGAATGTAAAACAGGGAGGCGGGAATGTAGTGTGATGCAATGAAATGGGGGTGGAGTTAAGCAATCTTAAGACTTTGGGGGAGAAAGCCTTTATGATGTAAGACTTTGGGGGAGGAATCAGACATTCTGATCTGCAAAGACTTTCATATATGTTCATCTCACAGGTGCGACATACGGTACAGTGTCTTAAACCTTTTATCTTTTTTTGTGTTCGTAATATTATACTTTGTTTTTGCTCTGGAAACACTCCTTGCATTCACAGTAGAGTGGTCCAAACGAATTGAATTTATTTAAAATTGGCTGTTGCACTGCTGTGGATGCGAATATAATTGTTCTTTTCGATGTGAATGCAAATGTGCCATGTGTGATAGTAATATGTGTGAATAGTACAGCTATTCAATGTTCAAATGTCTGTGTATGATCATTTGTATTTTAACTTGTGTACCTTTCTAATCCACTTTTTATTTTTCGGTCATCCAGTGAAAGTTTAATTTTCTTTTTTTTTTTCTCTCAGGTCACAAATTTTTTGCAGGTATTTTGCTCATTAGAAATGTTCTAGCAAAATCTTACACTTCAACTTTGTTGGATTTCCTATCTGAGTGAATCAAAAGTAGTTGAAAATATTTAGTCAAAAGTCTTTTGAAATATTGACTGCTCTAAAGTGGCATAAAGAATTAAGCGGTTGTCATTGGAAGTTAGTTGTAGGATTCCCATAAAAGTTGCTGAATTGGTTTAAGGAAATTGTTTGTATTTGATTGTTGTTACATTTGATCTCAAACTGCTCTTAAATGTAAAATGTGAGCATTCGTTCTGAAGAGAGTTTAAGTCTTATTGTTTAAGGACAGTAGTGTTACTGCTGTATCTGGCAGAAAAGCACTCAAGTATATTCTAATACTAAAGAAAACATCAACATATCAGTATAATCTTTGCCAAGTTTTTTACTGGAAATAGGTTAAAGGTGCTGCTAATTTAAATGAAGCGCTCTGGCCATGCAACTTTATTGCATCTTTGTAATATTTTGCAGTGATAAGAAATTGATCTGCCTACTGTCAAGACTCTTTGTCATGTAGTATAGAACCAGTCATTTTTTTAATCAACTGATGCAGATATTGTTGGTAGCTCGTAGCTACTTTTAGATTAACAGGTAGGTACTAATAGTCACTGAAATGGAAATTGCTAATTGGTTTTGTACCATGGTCAATTACCTGGAGTACTATCCTGTTAGATGCGTTCAGATGTATTGCACTTGTTGGTTTACTTGATTTGGTCTGCCAAATGTTCATGCATCTTTTCCCAGTATTGTTTAAACTGTTACTTGATTTTCTTGATTGTTGTTGAGTATGTTTACATGCACACCAGGAAACTGCTTATTGCGAAAGATTTGTGAAAGTATCATTGTGCTGACATGTTTTGTCAAAGCAGCATATACCTGTGGCACGATTAGCATTTATTTGGCTGCCTGATCTTTTTCCATGCACTCTTCAAAAAGCTGCCTATGCATTTACATGACTACATAAGACACAATCTCTGCTAGCATTCTGCCAATGTTAAATCATGTTGACTTTCTTAAGAATACCAAGCTGTTTTCATTAGTGCTTGTAAACATACTCTAATGGTCAACTATATTTACCAGTCCGAAGACCAGTGTGGCCATTGGAGAGTTGGAAGCTATTTCTGGTTGTTACCTTCTAGTTTGTAAATGCAATGGTCACTTGTGTTGACCCTGTGGCCATGTTCACGATGTGATGTTAGACTTGTTTCCCTTGCAGCCAGACTGGTAAGAAGCTGATGGCGAAATGTCGCATGCTGATCCAGGAGAATCAGGAGTTGGGTAGGCAGCTTTCCCAAGGGCGCATAGCCCAGTTGGAGGCCGAGCTTGCCTTGCAGAAGAAGTACAGCGAAGAGCTCAAAAGCAGCCAAGATGGTGAGCGAAAGTCTTTCTTTGGTCAACTCCATTCTGGATTGTTTTGAGCAGATCTCCACTCATCTTTGTGTGTTCTCTTTTTTTACCCATGTATTTTTGTGGTCCAGAGCTGAATGACTTCATCATTCAGCTGGATGAGGAGGTGGAGGGCATGCAGAGCACCATCCTGGTTCTGCAGCAGCAGCTGAGGGAGACCAGGCAGCAGCTGTCTCAGATGAACCAAACCCAAGGCACTTCTAGTGGAGCTGGCCCAAGCAGAACTTCCCCTTCAACAGCCTCCGAACCTTCCACTCAGAGTGAACCAGCCAACGCCTCCAGTTCAAATGTGGGGAAAGACTGCGGAAGGGTGTCCAATGGACCCTCCAATGGGAACTCATCTCAGAGGGGTGCATCTGGCTCTAGTTTGTACAGGGAAGCAAGCAGTGCAGATGAAGATTACCCTCCATCACCCTCTGTCTCCAGCCCCACCCATGATGGCATATCAAAACTCTCCAACCACTCAGAAGATGCAGTGAGCCAGAGGGGTGGAGAAGGGTACGTGACTCAGCTAAGTGCAGGCTATGAGAGCGTGGACTCGCCTACAGGCAGTGAGACGTCAGTGACCCAGCACTCGAACGATACAGACTCCAATGCTGACTCCCACGAGGCCGCTGCTGTCCCCAAAGGCAGCAGGACTGCAGGTACGCGGCACAGCACTCAGAATGGCCTGGACTCATCTGCAGCAGCAGTTGCCACCAACACCTCCAATGCCTCTGCAGGGTCTGTTTTGTAACATTCTTCTAGTTTCTGTTCATTTTTTTTTTTTTTAAGTAACTCACAACAAATAAACAAAACAACCCGTCACACTTCAGGCCAGTTAGTTCTTGTTCAAGAAGTGGTCAAAAGCATCACTTTTGTTTTGTACCCTCCTTCCCATCATAACCTATTTCAGTACATTTGCTACATGCTCGAAACTGATTACGTTTATAAAATGAGCAACACTGCGTTTGTATATTTGATTTTTTTTAATGAGAGTTTTAAACCATTTTCCTCTGTCGAAGTGATATAAACACTCGGTTCTGTACTGTTCATTTGCTCACTTGCTAGAACTCTGAATGATTTAGCTATGTGTGATGTATCAATGCTCAAGTCTTGAAACTGCAAGTTCAGAGTCCTTAGTTTCCTGATGTTGAACTTTTTTTGTTCCTCTACATGACGAGAGAAAACGTTTTTGTTTGACTTGTGTGTAGTTTTTCAAGACGTATCTTGTTAAATTCTGATTTCGATCCTTTTCATGTACTGACCAAATATCAATAAAGAGTTTTAATATGACTCTGTTCTTGCTTTGTTTTTCTGCCTTGAATTGTCAAAATGATTGTCTAACAACATCAAGTTAATGAATTAAATAAAAGTTTGATGTTCTGCTGTAAAGTGACATTTTAATAAACAACTGATTTGTAGAGAAGATTGGGGTTTAGGTTTTAGTTAGCCGTCCACACCGTTAGATGGCGCTACCTCAAAATAAAACCAATGCATCCTACTTTTGTGTCCTGATGACGACAAAGCTTTCGTATTCGTTTATCAAATGAATGGGACACCGAGAAGTAGGACGTTCCGCAGTACAACCTGCATTCAGACAGAGTCAGCCTACCAAGCACATAACCAACCTACCGGACAGCAAAGATGAACACGGATGCGATTGTTATCGTTTCTGCCGCAAGGACTCCTATAGGTAAACTTAATCTCATATATCCTATCTTTATGGCTCTTTTCTCACAATACTAAGTAACGTTACATTCTACCTTTTAGCTGTTATCTGCAGCTTGTTTATGGGTTACAGTAGAAAGTTGTATGTCCTGTATGGTTAAGTTACATGAATGAAGAACAAAACAAGGTGATCTGCACGACGAATCTTGTTGAAGGAGACTGTTTGCCGTAGTAAATCGTATTTTTTTGTCACAGTTGTTGATTTGAATGATTGTGCTACACGGCTGTCTTGGACTGTCTCGCTATGGTGCAGAAGGAAAGTAAAGCCGCTCTTATTGGTTGCTCAGCGTTCTCTGCCGAGTATTCGTGCTCTGATTGGTTGCTCGGTCTTCTCCCTAGTGTTTATTATCCTCTGATTGGTCATGTTATTGTAGCACCATGGCCAGGTCAGTCGTCAAAACCTTCACAAATCCTTAAACACTATTAGATAGTATTCATTAAGTAAATAATCAACATTTTAAAAAAAATATATATATAATTTGCTTAATAATTAATACAAATATCTAAATATATCACAAATAAAGCATTAAAACTGTATTTTTGTCTGTTTTCACATACATGTGCTTTTAGTGTTTTGTCCTTTACTATTATTTAGTAACTATATTTGCTATTATTTAATCACATTGATTAGCTGTAAAATGTTAAGTAAGTAAACTTTCCCAATGATGGGTTAGGGCTGGAAGGGCATCCTCTGCGTAAAACATGTGCTGGATAAGTTGGTGGTTCATTCCGCTGTGGCGTCCCCTCATTAATAAAGGGACCAAGCCGGAAAGTAAGAGGAATAAATGAATGATAAGTAAACCTCTGGTGACACAAATGCTAAAAAAAAATATATGTATATATAAAAAAAAAAAAAAGATTTTATAACAGTTGGTTTTGTCACGGTATAGATTACCTCTATTATCAAAAAATAGATGACATGGGTAAGCCTCTTTTCTTTTTTCCTTTCTTTAATTGTTCATTTAACACAAAAGTATAAATATTTTTGCCTTTTATCTACAGGGGCATTTAATGGAACCCTAAGTAGTGTACCCCTCCATGAACTGGGAACGCTGGTCATTAAAGATGTGCTGAAGAGGGTCAATGTGAAGCCAGAAGAGGTCTCAGAGGTCATTATGGGACATGTCCTGACTGCAGGTGAGAATTTAACACTAAATGGTGTTCTACATAGTGTTTTCTAGCCTGCTTGCCATATTAATATATAAAGCTCTTCAGTGACAGTGAAGGTATAGTTCATATTTTTATGTACATATGTTAAACACACTACATGCACTCAACATTTCAAAAAATAAAGATTGCTCCTTGTCTTTGTCTGCATTCTTTCTCTCAAAAATCTAAATAAAATAAAATAAAAATCTAAAATATACATTTAAATAATTGACTTGTCAAAACAGGTGTCTGATAGTTTTAGCTTAAAATGCTATCACACATTCTTCACAGCGGATGCCCTTCTGGCTAAAACCCATCACTGGGAAACACCCATACACACCTATTCACACTCATACACTATGTACAATTTAGCTTACCCAATTCACCTATAGTGAATGTCTTTGGACTGTGGGGGAAACCGGAGCACCTGGAGGAAACCCATGTGAACACAGTGAGAACATGCAAACTCCACACAGAAATGCCAACTGACCCAGCCGAGGCTCAAACCAGCGACCTTCTTGCTGTGAGGTGACAGTGATACCCACTGCGCAAACAATTTAAACAAAAATCAGCTTAGTGTTTATATTAGTGTTTATAGGTAAATGAATCTAGAGTCATGAATCACTTTAGCTTCTCTTTTCACTCTGTTTAGGTCACGGGCAGAACCCTGCGCGGCAGGCAAGTGTTGGTGCTGGTGTCCCATACTCAGTTCCAGCATGGAGCTGTCAGATGATCTGCGGATCTGGCCTGAAGTCTGTGTGCCTTGGTGCTCAGTCCATAATGACGAAAGAATCCACTATAGTGGTAGCAGGAGGCATGGAGAGCATGAGTCGGGTAAGCCCACTTCTTCCCTCCTATTCTGTTTTACAAAATGTCCCTCACATTCGAAATGACCTTAACGACAAATTACTAATTAAAACATCTTAAAACAGTATTTAGAAAGGTTTTTAAATAGTTTTTGGTGATTATTTTTAAAAACTGTCTATATAGGGTTTTTTTGACTTTCACAATATGCACGTTCCAAACATATTTTAAAAAAGCATGTACCAAAAAAAAAAACATGTACATTTGTTCACAAAGAAGACAATAATATTTCCTCTAAACATTCATACTAAATGCAAATTATATACAGGTCAAGTTTGAAACTTGATTTTGGTTTAGATATTTTATATATGTTTTTGAATTTCCCATTAATCCATATATTTTAGCCAAATGTACTTAGATGTACGCTAAATTTAAAAAAAAAGAGTCATGGGTTTTGGGGAGGGAATTACATAATTAAGAATGACCACACAGAGCTTTTCCTCTCCATTAGGCCCCTCATATAGTGCAAATGAGGTCAGGGGTGAAGATGGGAGATGCTACTCTGCAGGACACTATATTGACTGATGGACTCACAGATGCTTTTTATAATTACCACATGGGAATCACAGGTAATCTCTTAGAACAGACTACATTTGTTGTGTCCTTTTGTAGCAGGGTAATTGAGCTAGTTTTGGTTGTGTTTCTGTCTTAGCGGAGAATGTGGCCAAGCAGTGGGGGGTGTCCCGTGAGGCTCAAGATCAACTGGCTGTGACGTCACAGAACCGAACTGAAGCAGCTCAGAAGGCTGGTTATTTTGACAAGGAAATTGTGCCAGTCACCGTTCCCTCTAGAAAAGGCAAGAGGCTCTTTTCTACTCAGAAATGTACAATGTGTGTGCGCGTGAGTGGGCACGTGCGTGTGTGTGTATACAGTTGAAGTCAGAATTATTAGCCCCCCCTTCGAATTCTTTTTTTCTTTTTTAAATATTTCCAAAATTATGTTTAACAGAGCAAGGACATTTTCACAGTATGTCTGATAATATTTTTTTCTTCTGGAGAAAGTCTTATTTGTTTTATTTCGGCTAGAATAAAAGCAGTTTTAAATTTTTTGATAAACATTTAAGGTGAATATTATTAGCCCCTTTAAGCTATATTTTTGTTCTATTGTCTACAGAACAAACCATCATTATACAATAACTTGTCTAATTACCCTAACCTGCCTGGTTAACCTAATTAGCCTAGTTAAGCCTTTAAATGTCACTTTAAGCTATATAGAAGTGTCTTGAAAAATATCTAGTCAAATATTTTTTACTGTAATCAAAGCAAAGATCAAATAAATCAGTTATTAGAAATGAGTTATTAAAACTATTATGTTTAGAAATGTGTTGAAAAAATCTTTTCTCCGTTAAACAGAAATTGGGGGTGAAATATAGAACTGTTTAAATGTAATGGAAAAAAGTAATATTGTGAAACTTTTAGTCATTTTTTTCCGGTTCAGCTTTGTTATTCCTGTCTTCAATGTCATTTGATTCTTTTTAATCCTCTAATAGAATGATTTCGAGGCCAAGAAACATTTAATAATTCCATCAATGTTAAAAAGAGTTATGCTATTTCATTTTGTGGAGACCATGATAAATTAAATTTCAAGATTCTTTTTAGTAAGTTCGAAAGAACAGGATTTATCAGAAATAACAATTTTTTGTAACATAATAAAATGTATACAGATTATGATTATTAATAATAATAATAATACTTTTATTTATAGGTATAGATATTCGAGGACACCTTACAGTATATCACAGGCACATCATAAAAATACAAGCAGTAAAAAGCAATATATTCCAGAATATTATTTCAGCAAACCATTAAAAGCTATCCTGAACACAAAAAAAATGATCTGAGATTTAAAATTAGAAATAGTGTCCACCTGGAGAATGTAAAGGCAGGGACTTCCAAAACTTTGGTGCTGTGCATCTAAAAGCCCTGCCATTAAATGGCTTTACCTTAGGACAGATAACAGTTGATGATCTCAGTGAGCGCAAAGGAGTGAACAGATGAAGAAGATCACAAAGATAGTGAAGTGCAAGTTATGAAGAGCTCTTATGTTAAGAAAAGGATTTTGTATTGTATACAAGCCAGTGAAGGTGAAAGAGAATTGGAGTCATGTGATCAGAAGCAATCTATGAAGCAAATAGTGCAGTGTGATCGCGGCTTTATAACAGAAGTAGTTTTACCTACTATTACTAGTTTAACAAACTATTCAGATTATCTAAAATTAGTTTGACAAATATCTGAATGTTGGAATGAAGGTTAGTTGCTTTTACTTCTTTTCTTTTCTTGGCCAAAAACATACTCTCACATTATTAGTGCTGTGTAAGCATCATCTATTTTACATAGTTTCAATTTATATTTATATCTTTTGCGTATTTTATGATATGCTGTTTTAAATAAAAAATTTTTTTATAATTTGTCATGTATATGTAGACATAACATGAAATATTAGGTCATGAAAGATGACTTGAAAATCCTGGAAAAGTCATGGAATTTTTGTAGTATAAATATGGATGAACCCTGTATATAGAATGTTTTGAATCTTTTATTTATTAGGGATACATTCGATTTAATCAATTTTCCATAGTTTTTATTTAAAACAATCCAAAATAATAGCAACAGAATTATGCAAAGCAACCAAAAAACAAAAATGAGGCAGACTGTTAACCTTTGTTCCATTATCAGGTCCAGTCGAGGTCAAAGTTGATGAGTTTCCTCGGCATGGCAGCAATATTGATGCTATGTCCAAACTGAAGCCCTGTTTTGTGAAAGATGGCTCTGGTACTGTGACAGCTGGTAATGCGTCAGGTAAATGGTGATATCTTACTCTGTTATGACATAACAGTAGTCATCTTGACAGCCTGTGATGATTTTAATGCACCACTTTTGTGATGGTTTTATTTAACAGGCATAAATGATGGTGCTGCAGCTACTGTTCTTATGAGCCAATCAGAAGCCCAGAGGCGGGGTTTAAAACCAATGGCACGCATCACTTCCTGGGCTCAGGCAGGCCTTGACCCTTCAGTCATGGGCACAGGGCCAATACCAGCTATTAGAAAAGCTGTGAGTGTCTGTTGAGTCATCGCAAGGTTTAATTTAAGAACACGAATGAAGGAGGAAGTCTTGTACACAGTGCTTGGACATTTAGAATTACTCAAAGGATAAATATAATCCTAAAAATGAACAAACAAGTTTTATACACACTTATGTGACAATATATTATAATAAAACTTTCCCTTGAGTTAATTAAAGTATCTTATATTTTGTATAATTTATATAAATTTATAAATATTGAATAAATTATAAGTATGAATAGTTTGTATATTTTGTCTAAATTCAACAAAAGTGCTTTTTTTTATAATGGTAACACTTTACAATAAGGTTGTATTAGTTAATGTTAGTTAATGCAACAAACAATGAACAATACATTTATTATAGTATTTGTTCATGTTAGTTAACATAAGTTAATGAAAATAAAGGCTTATTGTAAGTTCATGTCAACTCACAGCTTTATTACCTAATGTCAACAAGCATGAATTTAAATGTTAACAATGCATTAGTAAATGTCGAACTATTATTAATAAATGCTGTATAAGTATTGTTCGTTAATAGTGCATGTTAGTAAATACATGCACAAATGAAACCTTACTGTAAAGTGTCACCAAAATAATACTACTGTTTTAAGTCAGTTGTTTCGATTCTGTGTCCAGATTGAGAAAGCCAGATGGAAACTAGATGAGGTTGATCTGTTTGAGATAAATGAAGCATTTGCATCTCAGTCTATTGCCGTAGTACAGGATCTTGGTCTAAACCCTGACAAGGTAAGTTATTTTTCCACTTTGTAATACACATACGTTGCTTCATTCAGCTTTACACAATACAATATTGACAGAGTTACCCAATGATTACTTTACCATTAAAAAAAGTGTAATATCATGATGAGTTTCAGCTTTTTTGCAAATATATCTTGACCTTTGTTCTTGACTAATGGTATCAGTGACCAAACTACTACATGAAGATGAAAAAGTTTAACTTAAATAGCTGCCGATGGTGGGTGGATTGATCAGATTTGCTAACACTGAAAGTATTGGTATTAAAAGTGTTAGTTTTTTCCATGAGGGGATTGAATTTAACAATAACTTTTTAACCCTTTATCAACCTCATGTCTAGCAGCTGCTGTTTATTTAATCAATTGAATGGGGTCAATATGTGCCATGTCAACCAAATCTTAGAAATTCCCCTAGCTTAAATTTTTCCTATAATGTTTATAAGCAAGACAAAGTGAAAAAGTCATGAATGTATTTTTTCAATTTAGACATTTTATACATAAAAAAGAAGTTGACTTTGTTACACAAATGTATTTGAATGCATCTTCCAAAAAACAAAAAAACGAATTTTTAGTTTTGGTAATTAATTCCAACATACAATAATGGCATCCAGTGTGTCGCATGATCAACTGCTAAATTCAGATCTGCATTCACATTAAATTGCTTTAAATAGGTTTCTTAAAGGTGCAGTAGGTGATTGTCTTCAGACACATTTTTTGTTGTGCTGGTTGAAAGTCTCTTCACATTCCAATAGTAATGATTAATGTAAATGATCTTAATATATTTATATGTATTTTTATACTCTGGATATGGCATAAAACTAAAAAATGTTCATCCAATTAAATATTGTCGGACCAACAAATAACTTAATGACAACAAGTATCTCAAACTGTCTGTCAACAAATTAGAATTTCTGCACAGCTACTTTAAGCAGACCGATACGTCACTCGCGCGTACACGTGAATCATACGAATCTACCGCTGACAGTGAGACGTCATCAGCCAAACTCTGCATCAACCTGAACTTCTTTCTGAAAAACCAGCCTGGCCTTGTGTCCATAAAACGAAAGATTGTTTCTGAAAGGACTTCTGCCAAAAATGCAGAATCAAAAGTTTTGACACCACAGCTGAAGTGTTACTTTTAGACAGGTTTGTTTTGAAACTATTTTAGCCACGCAAAACTTACAGTTGAAGTCAGAATTATTAGCCCCCCTGAATTATTAGACCGCTTGTTTATTTTTTTCCCTAATTTCTGTTTAACAGAGAGAATATTTCTTCAACACATTTCTAAACATAAAAGTTTTAATAACTCATTTCTAATAACTGATTTATTTAATCTTTGCCATGATGACAGTAAATAATATTTGACTAGATATTTTTAAAGACATTTCTATACAGCTTAAAGTGACATTTAAAGGCTCAACTAGGTTAATGAGGGTAACTAGGCAGGTTAGAGTAATTAGGCAAGGCATTCTATAAAAATTATTTACTGTCATCATGGCAAAGATAAAATAGATAAGTTATTAGAAATGAGTTCTTAACTATTATGTTTAGAAATGTGTTGAAAAAAATCTTCTCTCCATTAAACAGAAATTGGGGGGAAAATATAGAGGGGAACTAATAATTCAGGAAGGCAAATTGAATGACTTCAACTCTATGTTTGAGATAAATGAATGTGCAGCACAATTTTTCATTGTCTCTCTGTCTCTAGGTAAATGTGTGTGGCGGAGCGATCTCTCTTGGTCATCCTCTTGGCATGTCCGGCTGTCGTGTGTTGGTGACTCTTCTTCATGCTCTTCAGAGGACAGGCGGACGGAAAGGAGTCGCCTCGCTGTGTATCGGCGGAGGAATGGGCATCGCTATGTGTGTAGAGAGAGAATAAGGGCAAATGAACACCCTGTAATTTTGAGCTTTTAACCAGACTTTGAATCCAGCTTTTCACATTCAAAACAGATATGAAAACATATGGTAAAACTTAAGTATATATGCAGCGTTAATAGTAAGGAAACAGCCTGCAGTAAAATGCACTCAATTCTGCCTTCTTATCTAAACTCATCTCTAATGTTTCATCATATACAGTGGATCTGTTTTGCACTTAACATGTATTGATTCTCTTCGGGTTTATGGTACATGAAAAGGACTTGTTGAGGTATACCAGCTTTTAAGACATTCCCTTTCTGTATAAATTGTTTACAGTTGCTGAGACACTCATGTAGTAGAGCTTTTATTGGTACTAACAGTAGGCCTGTCCACATGCGTGTTAGTTATGACCTGTAAGTCATATTGTGGTATTTATAAATATTAAATTCATCAGTTGAATGGAGTCGGTCCTGTTTCCAGCACCTTTTCCAGACCTGTCTACACTGTGCAATAGAAAACTGCCTTAGAGAATGTCAAATGTGCCAAAAAGTAAAATTAGCCTCTATCCTGTGCTTCCATTAGGCTGCTTTTAACTCTCTCTTCTCCTAATTAATACCTCAGGGGAAATGCTGTTTACTTATATAGCCCGTGTTGTACTCTTAATATCACTGCCTAATAAAGAACTTAATGAAGAATTCTGTGTCCTACGGTGAATACAAGCAAGTATGGCCACTGTTTGATAAATAATCTAGAAATGTTGATGCACGTTTGACAAATAGAGCTATTGAGCAGGCTTTCTGCCATCCTTATGTTGAAAATAATTAATAAATATAATGGTTTAGTCTGCCAGTTAGTCAGCCAGTTTCTCTCTCTCAAGTTTAAGTTCAAGTTGCTTTACTAGCGTGACATTTACAGTATAGCCAAAGCATTTTAAATATGTATAAGATATGTAACATATTAACATCATCAAATTAATAAAATATACAGTAAATAAATAAATGGCAAAAAAGAAAGAAAAAAACAACTGATTATACATTTGATAATTTTAACAATTACAATAATAATAATAATAAAAAGAAGTCGAGAGTTTTTTAAATAAGATACATGAATTTACATTAACCATTTCTCATAATGTGTTGGGTGTATACATATTTTTCAGCTAGTTTAGACGTCAATTCATCCTCTGAGTACATGGTAAAGTTTTTCTGAGTCTTTTAAATAAAAAAATTAATTAATGTTGCAAATCTGGGGAAAATAATTCTCTAGTTGTTGTTTATTTGGGGCAGAACAGAAGGAAGTTCTGTACATATTCTCTGTTCTTTAGGATTATTTACGCCTGCCCTTTTCTATTTTTAGGTCATGATCACAGAGGCGATATATAGAAAGCACGTGTTTTTCTTTTAATTGTTTTAATGATAAATAATTTGCCAACTGTGTGGTTCTGTTCAGGACCGAATAACATTGAAGTTTAGTTTGGAGGTTGAATTCTGTTTTTAGTTTTTCATAATTATATTTTATTGTTAGTGAAGGTTTTGTTTGGGGCCGGGTTCAATTTGAGTTTTCATCAGTAGTTCATATACAAGTGTGTTTAGAGAATGAGACACTGTTTCTCAGAAGAGCTTTATATTGGACAGACTGGGGGTCAGACTGATGCAGGTGCAGCCAGAAGAGAACATCTCGTTTCTGAATCTCCAAGTTCAGTGGGTATAAACACAGTCCAGCCCTGCAGGCAATGTTAGAAGTGTTTCTGTGGATATGTAATATGTTTTTAGCACATTCTAATTGAGTTCATTCAATTAAACTTTTATTCCAATTTTCAACTTTTAATACTAGTTCCCAAATTGTACTTCCTATTTTACTCCCCCTCTCTCTCATTTATATATTTAAATATAGAATATATTTTTCTAGCACATTATATTCATTTTCATACAATGCTCAATATAAATGAGTGCTACCAATTTTGAAAATTCATTTTTATTAATTTCTCAGTGATTATAGATCATATATTTTGTGAATTTAAACAAAACAGATTTATTAAATGGGTATATTAAAATAATATTTTAATCACAGAACATCTTTAGAAATAGAAGAATAATATATTTTAATTCATGCAAACTATTGGAAAAAAATACAAACTATGAAATTTCAAAACATTTTATACATTTTTTTTCTCTTGAATTTTGCTCTTTTTATAATAGTATTCCCCCTAACATATAAAGTTTGTACTATTATCATAAGTTTTTTTTTGTTAAATCACCTCCACATTTGGCCTCAGTACTGACTAATGAATATGCACAAATATAACATTGTAAAGCTTCCTATACAAAATATTAATTTAAATGAGTGATTTGTTGTGAGCAGTGTGTTTTATTTATATATATATATATATATATATATATATATATATATATATATATATATATATATATATATATAATACTTTACTAGAAAAGTATATTAATAATATGAAACAAGACATGTTTTATAGATATATGAAGACTTTTTTAATAACTGTTTTAAAAATTAATTTTCACTTATAATTCAATATAAAAGCACGATCGATAAACTTTCCAACCTCATCTGCCCTGTGTTACCTGATAGCACCTTATTTTTATAGTCGTGACGTCTTGTGGACGATGTCTTAATGAATCCAATAGAGGGCGCCAAACCTTCAGTGACGTTCAAGCGCATCATCGGCCTGTTGAATTTCAGGTATAGGTGTTATTCTTTACCTTGGCTTGAAGTTTAATGTGTTTTAACCAAATTAAGAATAAACACATTATGCCCCACGTTGATGATAAAGGAACATACATGCTCATTACACTGAACGAAATGAAGAAACACTTAAATTGTAAATATAGTTGGATCAGAACCCATCGAACAGGAGGACGCCAAATAGGCTAGTGTGCGCAGGCAGGTAATCGGATTAAACTCCGACAGGCCACACACACTCACACACACGAGCTTTTTGTTCTGTACACTACTGAACAATAAATGCTTCATATCTCATACTGGTCTTACGGTTATTCACTATGCCACTCTTTATTAATAGAGACCAGATATTCGCCCATCAAGTCCACCTTCTAGAGCACAAACTTCGGGTGAGTTTCCTCTTTTATTTGAGTGTCAATGAACAGGTAAGCTGGTAAGTGGTGTAATGTCGCTTTGATTGCCTTTCATCTGTACTTTCTTGCTGATATGATTTGCTTGATCACAATAAACATTTTAGAAAGTTGTTATAACGCGAGTATTAAGTGCTTCAGCAATATAATTTGATTTAAAATCAGATTATTCTTTTGTAGGCTTGTATTATGATAAAACACCTGAAGCTTTCCTTGTTTCATAATAGTAAAAGTGTAGTAACGTTACTCTTTTTTTGGTAGGTTGATAACAGGTTTCCTGACATTTTATCCTACCCATCAGATTACGCTACCAACACTGTATTTGAGTGGTTCTGAGGTTGGGGTTAGGGATTATGTAGATTAGGGCAATATTACAGCTTCATATCACACTACTCCACATTAAAATGTACACTGGTAGCAAAATCCTATGGGTGGTATATTGCGTCATCAAAATGTGCTACCTACTTTTTTTGGAATGAGATCTGACAAGTATAACCAGTTTTAGGTTACAGTATGTACAGCAATATGGTATGTTTTGTGTTTTTGAAAGAAAGTACACATTATTGGTGAGAGAGATGGAAAACATTTTAGACTCCTTATTTGAATTAGGTATTTTATTCATGCCAAAAAGTAGGGTTTAAGTAGCCATCTAAAAATGTCAAATTTAAACACACACAGACACAGAGAGACAGAGTGAGTGAGAGGGGGGAAACACAAATGAGAGTCCTGTTTACTTTTTCATATATTATTCTGATTTGCAGATGAGTCATCAGATGAGCAGTGTGACATCATTGTTAACACTTTACAGGTTATGGAACCAATAAGGTAGCATTAGTTAATGTTAGTTAATGCAATAAAAACATTATAATAATTAAAGTATTTTTCATCTTTGTTAACACTAGTTAATGAAAAAAATTAATTTGTTCAAAATTTGTTCTTGTTAACTCACAAACACAAGCTTTTCACTCATCATAGCACACGTGCTGCTGATGATGTGACAATAAAAGTGATTTGATTTGATTTGGAACTTTGCATTTTATTAATGCATTAGTAAATGTTGAACTATGATTTGATGTATGGTGTAAGAAATTTACATGTACATGTTTATTCTTAGTTTGTTAGTAAATGCACTAACTAAGTTTAACTAATGGAAGCATGTTGTAAAGTTTGACTCAATAGTTTTAATTCCAAATCAATCTTGTGAGTCAGATTTAGTACACAAAAGACTTGATCAGTTTATGGATCATAGTGCAGTCCCAAAATACCATAACTGTAATTTTACATTTTTACATTTTACCCCATCCTACAAACCACTAGGTTTTATCTATTAGCAAGATGTTTTTATTAATGTAACATTTGATCAAATGTCATGTGTCCTGTGCGTCACCTGCACACCATGGCGACCAGCCTCCCATAGGGCCTTTGGATCTGATCCCTTGTATTTAAATAGTTGCATTTTTAAAACGACAAGTCAAAGCGTCACTCTTGACTCTTGATGTTTTTTTATCTTAATGTTAAAAGATAATAACAATAAACAAACAATAAAAAATATATATACATAAATATATGAACTATTATCACTATAGAAAGTAAGTTAAGTATGTCATTTGTTTTTCTTTTGCCATAATTATTTCGGATTACATTTTTCAGTTTGGGTGATGCGGTGGCACGGTAGGGAGTGCTGTCGCCTCAAAGCAAGAAGGTCACTGGTTCGAGCCCCGGCTGGGTCAGTTGGCTCAGTCTGTGTGGAGTTTGCATGTTCTCCCCGCATTCGCGTGGGTTTTTTCCGGGTACTCTAGTTTCCCCCAAAGACTAAAGACATGCAGTACAGGTGAATTGGGTTGGCTAAAATGTGGTGTATGAGTAGTGGCGTAGTGTATGAGTCTGAATGAGTGTGTATGGATGTTTCCCAGAGAAGCTGGAAGGGCATCCGCAGCGTACAACATATGCTGAATAAGTTGGCAGTTCATTCAGCTTTGGCATCTCCGAGTTAATAAAGGGAAAAGAAAATATATGAATGAATTATTCAGTTTGCTTGTTTAGTATGATCGAGTCATTTAAAGGCAAAATATGTAAATATATTTCATTAAAATATCAAAAACAAAACACTAAAACAGTGTTAAACATTTTTTAAATGCACTAACTAAGTTTAACTAATGGAAGCATGTTGTAAAGTTTGACTCAATAGTTTTAATTCCAAATCAATCTTGTGAGTCAGATTTAGTACACAAAAGACTTGATCAGTTTATGGATCATAGTGCAGTCCCAAAATACCATAACTGTAATTTTACATTTTTACATTTTACCCCATCCTACAAACCACTAGGTTTTATCTATTAGCAAGATGTTTTTATTAATGTAACATTTGATCAAATGTAGCATAATGACTTATGAACTGTCCTTAAGTACTTGTATATAAATAATAGTAATAGCAAGTAATATAATAATAACAAGTACTGGTCAGTTTGTTGTTTAATATATTCCTAATCATTTGTTATACTGAATGACAGTGGAACACTATTGCACTCATATTTTGTCATTTTATTTAAAAAATAAATTTGAAATAAAAAATA